TTTTTTTTTTTTTTTTTTGTGGTTATAATATGGAATTCTTTGTCTAATGTAATGTACACTTGACAGTTGGTTTGTGTGTTGATAAGTGATAACATCTTATATCTATTTATATATATATAAAGCTAGGAATAGAAAATATGATGTGGCACGTCTTATTGCTCAAGGAAGTGGTTTATCTTTTTTCTCCTTTTTAAATCCAAATTCTCTTATCTAGGTAGACATATTATATTTTACCTATTATCATTGAAAGGAATATGAAACTGATGCTTTTGTTAATCTCATTTATTACATCGCATCATTATCTCTCAATGAATAACATACATCAGTTATAAAGAACTTTTCACCTATTGGTTTTCCTCAATTAAACAAATTTCCATGGCTTGATCTGTCTCTATATAATAATCCAATAATGGTTGCTACCTTTGCAAGTTGTAACCTTTAAGTTTCATATTTATGGAGAAAAAAAAAACTACTACAATCTCCTGTAGTGAGCAGAGACTTATCTACAAATATAGGCTCCCTTCCTGTCATAAAACACAACTTCCAAGCAATGGTTCTTCCGGCCAGGTTTGTATTCTTTTATCCTCAGTTCCTGACTAACTTTACATGTTTTTTCAAAATTTCCGGCATTATATTATTTATGACATATTCTTAGATTTTTGTTTTACTGCATGTCGTAGTATTTTGGGATGCTATAATTTTGGAAAATTTAAAGAATTTTGTCACTATCCTCTATTTAATGTATATAGTGTATCTCTTTTTACTTGTGTTCTGCCTTTATATTTTGCTTGACTGTCTTTCGTTTTATTTTTTCCTTTTCGGATTTTGTTCATTTATTTACTTATATGACGAAATTAGTTTATTGGACTTGCAAGACTGTTCCTGAATATGCATATATGCCTTTTTTTAGCGTAGTAAAATTGTTGATAAGAACAAAGTTTCCTCTTGTAATCATTTTATTTTATTTGTATTCCTTTTATGATCTTTAGCTTGGAATCAAGGGGGTTCTAAACTATATAGAAATTTAAGTTTGATGAATCAGTTTGTGTAGTCAATATGTATATTCGTTATTTAGCCTAAAAATATCTATTTGTTGAAAGAAATACTATTCAACTACTTTATGGACTAACTTTTTTCTTATGAAGCAGAAGATGAATGGAGTCAACACAACGTTAAGAGGCTCATTGTACATCTCTTTGGGTTAACCGAAGCATTTCTTCTATTGTGCTACAAAAGAATGTGGTAGTGCAAGAAATTTAAAAGTTTTTTATTACTCTAGGTTCTAGTTCGGAGAAATATATTTTTGTAAAGATTGGAGAAACACATAAACATTATTACACTTATGTAAGATGATGTGTCATTCTTTTAGGCCAAGGATATTGAATTTATCTTTTTTCTCCTTTTTTGCCTTTTTCTCTACTTTGTTATTATCTTATTGTAAGAATAAATGTGATGGTTCGTACCCCTTCCCTTATATATGGTCTTTACACAAAGTAATTAACTCTCGTATAAATTTATTGCATATAAATTACTATATTAATTATTATTAGTTATTGTATATATTAATGGAGAATTGAAAAGCCACCATCAATCTTCAAGTTCATTTTGTTTTCTTTTTCCATTGCTCTTCATGTTCTTTCAAGTTGTTGCACACAATCTAAAATGCTACCCAAGCCTCTGCAGCCTGAAGATATTAGGTTGGCTGATTAAGCCCTTGCATTATCTCTAATTCGGATGATAAATTTGTCATTTCTCAATATGAGTTTGTCTTCTTTTATTACATGTGAAAGATGTTTTTTTGTCCTTCATATTATTTTTTGTTGTTTAGATTTTCTATTCACCAGCAAATTCAGACAATTTTAATAGCGTCATAGTTTCAGACAAATATAATAGCGTCATAGTTAATGTGTATATGCACCTCCGGCCCCTAAAACTTTTGCTTCTTCATATAGCAAGCATATTTGATCAATTTTTCTACACAGACTTTAAATTGGTTTCGTAGTAGCATTAATACTTGCATTACTTTTAAGTTGTGTTACTGGTATATTTATTGTTTCCTATGTATTTGCCTAAAATTCTACGCCATGATTCAGTTCATGTGAGAACATTATTATTTAGAAAGTCTACAAGGTTGATCTTTTGACCATATTCTTCTTAGATATTTTATAAGTATTTTGAATTATAAATTATTATGACTTATAATATTTTTTAATGTATTTTTTCAATATGGAAATTTTACTTTCAATAACTTGAATAATTTGTATCTAATTTCACGATCAATATTAAGAATTTTGCTAAGCAACAGCAGGAAAGAGGAGAAAAAATAGAGTTTAGAGGAGAAAAATGACATAGGGAGAACAAGGTAGGAAAGAAAAAAATAATAGAGGATAGAGAAGTAATGCACCTGACTTTTATGGAATATGAGATTATTTATAGAATTAAAACTTAAGAGGAAGATTAAGGATAAAAAAAGAAGTGAAGAAAAAGAACCTGAAAGAAAGTATTTGAAAAATAATAAAAGATGGGGGAAAATTACATAACGAAAATGCAACTCAATGGATGAACATCGCAACTTGGTTTGGCAATTATTTAATTTATTTATTGTTTGTTTCTTTTCTTTACATTTTTTAGTTTTTTTTTTAATTTGAGAAGAGAATTTTAGGAAAGCTGAAGTCTCACTATCTGATGAAATTAAAAGAAATCAAATACTCCTATATTTATGTATCCAAAATAAAATTTAAATAAGAAAATAGTATATTAAAAATCAAGTAAACACCCATTATATAGTTTTCTGTTCGAAAAGTACTATAATAAAAGTTGCAATCATTTATGCTCTAATTCTAACGAAAATAATTATATTTGTTATCTCATGAAAATAACTAAATTTCATATCTGTATATACGAAAAACTTAACATATTCTATTTCGACTAAAGTCATAATTAGATTTAGTGATCCTTTCAATAATCGCGCGAAGCGCGTTCAATTTCACTAGTTGGTTAATAAATGTAGTTAGTGTACTTTTATTGTTAAGTTACTCTCCAGCTCAGCTTGTTGATACTTTTTCCATTACTGATGAATTTCTTAGACTGTAGTTTGATATTAAATTGAATCTCCTCTAATTATTTTTAAATTTTTGCTCATTATTCAGTTGTTACTAAGAGCTATGAGTATCCCATCCCATAACTTGGAATTTAACTTTGGTTAGACGATGATTACTCGTTGCCTAAATTCTTAAAACAATATAAGAAAATCAAGGTGCGTGAATACTCATCAACAAAGGCTCACTGTTGGAGGAAGAAACACCTTGGTAGTTGTCTTAAGACTTCAAAGCTGATGCTATAAACATTTAGGTCATGCTGGAAAAAAAAATCATTGTGAACACTCGTACAGTTCAGAATGGTGGAAAGAAACAAATGGAGAAGCCAGGAAAAAAAAGAAATGTGAAAAGGTAGAATTTAATAAACATTCAATAAGGATATTAAAAGAATCGGGACTCAATATAAAAATGAATATATGATTGTCCCTAATTTTTATGTCTTTCACTTTTGGAGATCAACAAGTGACTACCAAGGAAATGGCTAATTTATGAGAAAGAAGCGCAGTAAACAAAAGGGGTTTAACGGGCTATGGGTTTTCTTTTTAAAAAAAGCTAGTCGTTTTTTTGATCTAGTGGCTTTCCGTTAGCTGAAGGGTATTTTAAAAAAAATTGGTTAACGATAATGGTAGATATAGCCACATAGTATAATGGGGAGTAGATGTGAACAATATATCAAAGTAAAGGGATAAATTTGATCATTTTCTCACTCTGTAATGAGTTCCGTTTAAATCAAGGGACGACATCACTGCTTTTAATGTACCATCTAACAAAATAAAAAAAAACATGCATTTCTAAAGGTTTTGAGTCTTGCTAGGGCTATTCTAGCTCTGTCTCTATCTTTTATTCTTCAAAAATACATATTTTTGTTTACCACGAATCTTAAAATTATCTTTTATTAATCTACTTATACAATTGATTACACCCTTAAAAGAAGAAAAGATAGAAAAAAGATGAAGAGACCTAAAACTGTAAGAAACCAAAACTGTGAGGGGGTAAAGTGGTACATACAAAACCAAACGGACTGCGATTGACTAAATTTTGAAATTACTCGATATTCCCCTTCTGGCCCCCACGATAATGGTCAATATATCTAAAACCTCCCTTATCAGGGAGCGATATATAAAAGGCAACAGAAGCTAAAGCTAGTATAGAGCCGAACAACGAAAATGGGAAAGTGTGTTTGAGACTGAAGATTCTTTCCTATGTTTTCTCAAGTTCCAAAAATGTCAAGCGCCATTGATTTCACTCCCAAGAATCTTCCAGGTAAATATGTTTTTTCCATCTTCTTTTTCCCGTTTATGATAAACAATTTGTGCGCATAAGGTGTTTGATGAAATGCTTGTGTTAACAAATGGAGTGGAGGTCTTTTTGATTAGTGTGCCTCTTATTAATGCCCTAGCTATGTCCAAATACTGACCAGTTCACCACCGGGGCGTGTGGTGAATGGTTGAGATCCCTCCACTCTTTAACATCGAGCCTGGGAGTGGAGAACTTATTGGTAGGAGGTTTTACCCTTAGTTGGGCTTACCTGACGCCAATCTGGAATAGTTCCAGATGGTTAAACTTCAAAAAAAAAAAAAAAGGAACGCTAACCGTAACCAGTTTAATTAGGGAAAGTCCTTAGTAGCCACTACAGACAATAACTTTGTTTCAATACAAAACTAGTGGGTTCGGCTATTTGAATCCTCTATATCCATTTTGCTCTAGTTGGACGCTTTCATTCTGATACTCGGTAATAAAGAAAAATTTAGTGCTGTTTACTGTTGAGGCTATTGATAAATAAATGAACAAGAAGTCCTTGTCACGGGTTCCTATGTCAATGCAGTTTACTATTAGCTGCAATTGATTAAGCTAAAGTGGTTCAGCTTCTTTTGAATAATGTAAGAAGTGGTTTAATTTGCATTTTCATGAAATATTTGAAAATGTGAATAACTTTCTGGGTGGCGTGGCGTGTTGGGGGTGTGTGAGGTAGCAAATGTGCAGAATTATTGGCATGTATAGCAAATTATTGGCTCTTCTTGAAGTAAAGTTTTCCTTTAAAACTCCACAAGCTCCTATCTAGTGGAAATTACTTTTTCTTCTGATCTTTTTTAGTTTTTAGATCTTCCAACTTCCCTTGAAGTTCACACATCAGCTTGGTCATCTAAACATAACTGAAGGAAAGCTTTATAGGTGTGCCTGGCCATGCCAAGATCTCTTCCAACCTTATTATCTTTCCACAAGGTGCTAACAGTAGTGTGAGCACGTGATTTTTGCCTCACACGAATTACTCCAAAAGAATTCCCAAAATTAGGTCTTTTCTTTAATTATGTGTTATTTTTAGGAATTATTATGCAATTTTCCTGATTGTCTGCGTATGTTTGTGTACATGTTTAATTTTATTAATGCATTAAAAATACAAAAATATAGCATCTGCATTTAGGATTTGATTTTTACATTAATTAATAATTAAGTGTTTTAAAAAAATGAAAATTCACAAAAAATAACATTTTTGTGTTTTTAGTCAAATTGTGTGATTTTTTTTTAATTTAGTATTTAATTATTTATGATAATTATTATTTAGAGTTAATTAATATTCTTAAAGCTAATTTGGGTTTTATAATTTAATTAGGATTTTAGTTTCAATTTTTGAAAGAAAAAGGAAGAAAAGAAAAGAAAAAGAATTAATAAAAGAGAGGAAATCAGATCTGGGCCAAAAAATCCCCAGCAGAGTTGCCAGAGTTGTCACACCTCCTTTTTCCTACACTCCGGAAGGGTATAAGGGAATTTTTCCAATTAAAGGACAATCAAAACGGGATTTATTTATATTAAGATTCAGAGTCGCCACTTGGGAGATTTATGGTGTCCCAAGTCACCGG